TGTATAATATTTGGAAGATTCATTTCAGTAAACAAATTCCAAAGCCAGATCCTGGTTAGTTTGTTAAGCTGATCGGGATCCGGCTCGGGCGGGATCCGTCCCCGTCGGGTCGGGTCGTGACAGAAAGTTACCTTCGCAGCCAACGGAGCTCCCGTCGTTGCTTCCGATCAAATGTTCTAACCTCTGATCCAACTGGAATGGAAAGTCGTCTGAGGAGTGATGTCGATCAGCCGAAAGGAGCCGAAGTTGTGCGAGAGCAAGGGAGTTACTTCACAGTCGGTGTGCTCCCGTTCTTGCACCCGATCAAAATGTCCTAACTTCTGATCCATCTAGAAGAGAGAGCAAGAGCGACAGAGAGAGATTCGGAACGAGAGGAAGAGGCCGAACTCTTCGTCTCTTTAATGACGCACAGAGATCGTGGGAGCGATCTCGACGTGCGACGTGCGAGCCGTGTCAAGGGCGTGCGGTGGCAGAGCAGGTAAAATTTTTTTATTTGAGTTCTTTTTTTTTTTTTTGAGACAGAAACGGGTCAACAGTACATTGTCATGCAAAAGATACAATTTCGTCGCCCTACGATTAATTAATCCAAAAGAACGAAAAGGGTGATCTTTCTCCTGGTGCTCGCTGGCAGATTGCTCTCCTATGTAACAACTCCCGACCGAAGGCACTGCCTTTGAAGCTCGGAGGTTGGACGAGCAGCCGGAAAAGAAGAAGCTTGCATAAGTGTTGGGTAATTTCGCCTATTTTCTTTATGAACGGGGGTTTGTAATAGAATAATCACATGTAAAATACCTTTCGTAACTGACAGAAAAACGAGGTTTCATGAAAAGAAATTATATGTAAGCGGTGACTTCCTGACAATTTAAAATAACTGATTTTAGCGTATTGAACCTAAAATGGAGAAATTAAGCCGAATCAAACGAGGTGATAATCTTATTATGATTCGAAAATTTCTAGTTATTTGACTATTTTTAGGTTTGGTTTATTTGATATAAATATATGGAAGTGAGTGGATCGCAGTGAGTTCATGGTTTTATCAGAAGAAAGTTTAAACTATTCTTTCTTGAATATAAAATAAAATTAAATAAATGAATAGGTGAATTGATCATAATGTTTTTACTGATTATATAAATAAAATAGCATAAAATTATTAAGAGGATTGGTTAGAATGAAACTCAGTACAACGACAAAATAGAAGTTTGCAAATGAGTTTATACAAAACAAATAGGCATCACTGAAACTTATTTTAGAATAGCTCAACACAGCTCCAACATTTTCTATATGTAGAAACAAATTGGTCCCGATGCTAGTTATGATGTGGGGAATAGACTGTTATTTTCTTTATTACTTTTCTATTTTTAAATAAGCAAACAATAATTGATTAGATGAGATCTAGGATCCTTTCACGTAGTTAACCTTTTCTGTGTGCAGAAGAGCATGCTTTGAAGTATGTTTTGTGTTTGATATGTTAATCTGAATCCTTAGTGTAACGAAGTATCCAAAATTATGTTGGCTAAAGAAACCTATTTAGTCATCTTTAGTCATTAGGCATTACCCAATTTTTGGGCTAGTGAACTTTGATATTTGTTTCATTGGTCCCGTAGTGGTCATACCTTTCAACCAGCTTTTGTCTTGTGATATAGAAAATTCTCTCACAGGCTATATTTTGTTTCACAATGTCAGTGTGCCATCCACATGCAACGGTGGTGAAGAAGGCAATTAAAGAGTATCATTCGGTAATTTTTAACACATTTTTCCAATCCTTGTTGGATTTCCTGCTTGCATGACATTTTTTATTACTTTGTAAAGCCTTATATAAGATCTTTGATATAAGATGGCGTGCCTTTTTGTGTCTGAATGCAGGCTGTGAATGGAGGCTTTTTGCTGAAACTACCTTTCACCACTATATTTGAATATCTACAGGTTTTTATCCACTGTATTCAATACAATATTCATAAAGCAAAGAAGTTAATGCACGCGCAGTATTTCAAATAAACTATTCGTTTTGAAAAGATCTTGCAAATTCGCAATTTTTTTATGCGGATGGGTGGTAATATTGAAAACATGGTTCTAGAAATGATTATATTAAAAAATATGATGAGAGTAGCACTTTAGGCTTGAATGGTGTGGGCAAGTAAAGCGGGAGATGGCAGATGCACTAATGAATTGGATATGTAATTGCTGTGGAAGGTTTAAGAACAACAATGATAAAACTAATGTACTTGTCTAGAATTTGTAAAAGAAAACTTGCACAAAACTGAGTTGACAGTTTATGTAACACTCTAGGGGAATTAGTGGAGGGGATTCATGAATATGATCCTTTTTAATTGGGATACTGCTAATGTTGACGAGATTGATGATTTTGGCAGGTTTCAGCCATTCTTTTTTGATATATCTTTTGCACATATATTTTCAATGTTGGAAACTTAGTTTTGCCTTCCTATATCTATGAAATTTATAATTCTTAATGCTTCTAACAGATAATACAAGTGGTGGCCACATCATTGAGTTGTCTAGGACCTCGTGGAATGTTTTATCTTGCTGCTGCAGTATCAGACTTCTATGTTCCATGGGAAAATATGGTATTGTAAAGCCAAAATTTGACATTTTAAGCGAAGTCATTTTAACCAGTAGTAAATTATTTCAGACGCTCAAGCTCTTAAAATAGAGACAGTTCAATCTAACTACAGTGGCCTTCTGAACTTCATAATTCCTAAGAAACAACCTAGGGCAGATTTGCGTCATAATAGCATGAGTTATTTTAACAATGCAGAATCATCCTTAAACTTCTTAGGAGGGCTGTTTAGTCTTTTTGAGAGTTTTTTTTGTTTACTTTATGCAAGAGATTTGAATTAGGGTTAGGGTTATCTACTTATCTTGATGATTGCTGTAATTTTGGGTTTCCTTGGTGTTCGTGGGCTCTAGCGACGTCTAGAGAGTTGGGTGAAAATGATCCTCCTCTTGAATAGAGGATCAATTGTATCTTGTAGTTTGCTTTCTGTTATTCATCAATTAGCCTATTAAAGGTATCTACCTAATTCATTTTCCCATGATTATGATATGCTTCTGCTGTTACAATTGCGCAACCATTCTTAGTTGAATGGATGCTTCTACAATTGGTATCAAAGCTGTGCTATCCCCCAAGATAATTGTCCAATTGAATTTTTCAGCAAAAATTTAAGTACACCTTATCAAAATTAGATAGTTATGAACAAGGAATATATATGGTTGTTCGAGCACTAAACAGTGGGAACATTACCTTCCACATGAAGACTTCATCTTATACAAAAACCACTAAGCCCTTCGATTTTAAATTTACAAAGTAAATTAAGTCGATCCATACTCGTTTGATTCTGTTCTTGCAAAAATTTAGTTTCATCCTTAAACACAAGGCGGGTACCCAAAATCAAGTTGCAGATTCATTGAGCAAGCTCATCTGCCTTCTTGCCTCCTTATAGAGTTTACTGGGTTGGGTTTCCCTCAGGGAGTTGTATAGCAATGACAAAGATTTTTCTAACATTTGGGCTAAATGTAGCTAAATCGTTTTATTGAAAATTCAATTTGACATGCATTCTTGTTTGAAGGCAACCAATTGTGTATGTTCAATTCCTCTATCCATGATCAACTTATTTAGAACTTGCACGCAGACGAACTTGCCACTCAAACTAGGAGCATTTCAAGTAACTAAAAAGATCAATGATAACATCTAACTTCTATTGTTGCATCTTAAACTCTTTCTAGTCTCTATGTCTATCACCTGGTTGATGTTGCTAGATTATCGACTGTTGAACTGAAGTCGAGTTCTTTTGAAGTAAGGGAGACCTAATGCAATAGCACTTGCTTGTAGTTCTCCTCCCACATGTTTCTAATGACCCAGGCTCGCTGTCCTTTTTCCCACTTCTTTTCTAACAAACTTATGCTTAATATTTCTCTTTATTATTCCTATTTAGGATTTTTCCGGCTGCATAAAAAGTGAAGTATCTTTAGATGAATGTCCAGAAACCTTCAATGATTTGTTGAATGTTGTGCTCTTCCATTACCTTGACCTGAATGCTCTATGTCCTATATTCACGTCTTCTATGTCTGAGTTGTATATTAATCTTATCCATTCATATCATCCCAACTTTCACGTTCTGGTGATGGAAATTCTGAGTCTGATCAGCTTCGAATTTGGAGTAACATTGTGAGAGAATATCAACTATAATTTTTCATTCTTATTTAATGGTTTTATGGGAGCGAGATATGGAGCGTAGGTTGCGGCATGATACTATTGTTTCTCAAAATCAATTTGGATTCATGCCGGGTAGGTCTACTATGGAAGCCATGCATTTATTGAGAGGTTTGATGGAGAAATATAGAGAGAATAAGGAGGATCTACATATGATATTTATTGATTTAGAGAAAATATATGATAAAGTTTCAAGAGAAGTGCTATGGAGAGTTCTTGAAAAGAAATGAGTTAATAATGCTTATATTCAAATCATTAAAGATAAGCAGGAGCTATTACTTGTGTTCAACAAAAGGTGGTTTGACCAAGTATTTTCCTATTTCAGTTGGATGACATCAAGGATCACTCTTAAGTCCATATCTTTTTTTCTTTAGTCATGGATGTTCTCACTTGACATTTGCAAGAGGATGTATCTTAGTGTATGCTTTTTGCTAATGATATTCTTCTTGTTGATAAGACTAGAGAGGGAGTTGAAGATAAACTTGAATTATGGAGGTCAACTTTAGAGTCTAAAGGTTTTCGCTTGAGTAGATCTAAAATTGAATATATGAAATGTAATTTTAGTAGCAATAGACCTAGTGAGGGGATTGTGACTTTGGGCGATCAAGTCATTAATAAGAGTACACATTTTAGATATCTTAGATCTATTGTTCAGAGTGATGCTGAAATTGATGGGGGTATTATCAGCAGAATTCAAGTTGGATGGTTGAAGTGGAGGAATGCATCGGGCTTATTGTGCGATAGAAAAGTCCCCCTCAAACTTAAGGGAAAATTCTATAAGATTGTGGTGAGACCTGCAATGCTTTATGGTGCCGAATGTTGGCCATTAAAAGAAAAGCATAATACTAAGTTAAGTGTTGCAGAGATGAGTATGCTTAGGTGGATGAGTGGCTTGACCCTTAGATATAGGATACAAAATGAGCAAATATGTGAAAAGGTTGGCGTAGCTCCAGTGGAAGATAAGATTAGAGAGAGTCACCTTAGATGGTTTGGTCACATTAAACGGAGGCCTTCCTATGACCCGGTTAGGAAAGTTGAGGTATTAGATTTGACTTATGTTAAGAAAGGTAGAGGTAGACATAAAAAGACTTGGTTAGAAAATATTAGAAATGATATTTTTTTATTAGATTTAAATGAGAATTTGACTTTTAACCGGACACAATGGCGAAAAAGGATTCATGTAGCCGACCCCACATGGTGGGACAAAGGCTTGATGTTGTTGTTGTTTGTTGTTATATTTAATGGTTTTCTGGGTTCAATAAAGGTTATATGCAATGTGAAGATGAAATGTATTTATACTCAGAAATATTAAGGTCATTTCAAGAGCGAATTTAAGATATTATATCTTTATATATAGCAGACATGTATTAATAAACACCTGCTTTTTTATGTCTTTAATAATAAAATTCAAATTGTACCTCTCTTAAAATAAAAAAATAAAAAATGTACCTCTGTTGCGCAAATTCTTGGCTCCTTCTCTGAGGTCTTTGGTTTTTTTGTCCAACAATTATTACTCTTAAAGCCTTGAATGAAGAATATGGGTGCAGGCAAAACATAAGATCCAATCAGCAGCTGGTCCTCTTGATATGCGGCTTACTCAAGTGCCCAAAATGCTTCGGATTTTGAGGACAGATTGGGCCCCTTCTGCATTTTGTGTATCATTCAAGGTTCGTCTCTTTTCCCTGTTAAACATCAAATCCAAAAGGTTAACAGTGACTGATTATACTTATCAGTTGGTGAAGTTTTTATCTTGATATCATTTTCTTGCAGTGAATGAATTTGCATTTAGATTACGACGCCTTCTGGTAATGATGATTATATCATTGCACATATTTGTTTCAAATGGCATTTACAAGTCTAAAGTTTAGTCTGAAAGATTTTAAGATAGAATTTGATAAAATATTCAGAGGACAACTAAATAAATCTGCATAGAAAATATGAAAAAACAGTTGATTTAGAGAGACTTTTCTGCATTACCTAAATCGACTTTTAAAACTTTTTTTTTTTTTTGGACATTTAGGGCAATTAAGGCAAAATTCACACACACATCGCATACACAAAGACTCGAACCCAATACCTCTTAGTTGGTAGCCGAAACTCTCAACGAACAGCCCAAGATGAGCTATGTGACTTTTAAAACTTACAAAATCAAAATTTAAAAGTTTACGAAGAATTCATGATGCTTTGTTTTGTTGCCAATCGTTCCCCATTGACATGTTCCAATTGACTTACTCTCTCTGGACTTTTTTCTCTTTGTTTTCTTATCTGAAAAGTTGGAGACAGATTCTGAGATCCTACTCCAGAAAGCTGAATCTGCACTCAGAAAGTATCAGATGCATGTAGTAGTAGCTAATGAGCTCGCGACCTACAAAAGGGAGGTTATAGCAGTGTCCCTTGATGGGAAGATCAGCATTCGAAAGCAGAGCGAGGATGCTGATGTCGAGGAGCAGCTTATCAAACTCCTGGTGGAGAAACACAATAAGTACATTGAATGCTGTGGAATGGGCTGAAGCTGAAAAATGCAGAACATGTGCCCATCATTGACAAAACTATACAACTGGTATGCTCAGCCTTCATTTTGGACAACTTTCTTACTGTTTATTAAGGCTTCGTTTGGGACAGCTTTCTCATTGCTTCTTAAATCAGCTTTTTATTACAAAAATTAAAATTGTTGTACTAGAAAGCTGCTTTAAGAAGTAGTAAGAAAGTTATCCCAAACAAAGCCTAAATCAGCTTTCTAATACAAAATTAAAATTTTTATGCTAAAAGCTGTTTTAAGAATCAATAAGAAAGTTATTACAAATAAAAACTTCATTAGTTTTTCACGTTGATTTTGAACGAAGAAAGCTTTATGTTTATATTGCTTTAACAATCTTGAACTGTTAATGGACTGATATAAATACAAGTGGTTAAGCAAATCTGTGTTTCTATTCCGAATACCAAATATATTTATATTTATATTAAAACATAAATAAATAAATAATAACAGAAATTGATCCCAAATGTTTTTCATTCACTTTTGCCTGTAGCTGTCTTGCCATTCTGACCTCTTATTGGATTGATTTGCTTGTTTATATAATATTTAGACAAGATTAGGTTAGTTCAGATAGAGCTTTCACCAAATTTCATAAGGAAAAGTTAGGACAAGCCCTCAGGTGTTGATGTGGCTAAATAAACCATGTGGTCCAGTAGAAGAAGCCTTCTCGAACAAAATATTAATAGAAATTGCACTGATTTGTCAATCCTTCAAAACAAGTCAGTTGAATAGTTTTTGTGAGTCAAGAGAATTGAAAAATCTCTCCACTGCAATATAATAATATCTTGTAGATCTTTTGACATATTCTTATGTCAATAGTCTATGTAAAATAGTTAAAATCCTGAATGAAAAAAATTGGTCGAATTCTTTAGATATGAATTAACAATTAAGTGTAATGGTGGGATAAAATAATTAAAACAATGTAATATAGTTTTTTTTTTTGGAACAGAGGTATCTATCCGTTGTCAATCTTTTAAGAGATGCTTGGCTGCGTAACTAATCTCTCAGTGGCACCTAATAGAGCCAATCCACGGCAAGTCCCTTGAAAGGAAATTTTTATTAGGTCCGGTGTCCTGACGTAGCTCTACGTTCGGACGCCAGTAAAATGGTGTCATGTGCTCTTACTCTTTACTGTGCGGCTCGAAGACCCGACCCGGACCGGACCCGGGATTGCTATGTATTGGCTGATTTGTGCAGACCGGGGTATTGCTAGGTATTGCTCGATATGTTCGACAATAACGAGAAATACCATTCTGTCAAGATCAATACCGAGCAATACCTCGGTTTTGCTAGGTATTGGTCTTGACAGGGTTATATTTCTTGTTATTGTGAAGCAATACCTAGCAATATCCTAACATAGCAATTTCGGGTTCCGATCTGGGTCTGGTTGTTGGGTCGAGCGGCAAAGAGTAAGAGTACGTGGCAACATGTTATTAGCGTTTGGATGTAGAGCTACGGTAGGTGTCTGAACCTAATAATTGTTCCTTGAAAGGGGATCCAAACATGAATTCAGGGTTCTCAACTATGTTCGTCCATCAATCAAACTAAGCCCCGATGGATATGATAATATATCTTAGTAGAAGTTGGTATGAGGTTGGAAAGAATGTGGATATGGTAAAAATATTGTGCCAGATTGCCAAAAACTAGAAAGGATAAATGCCATGCAATTAATAAACGCGTAATGGGTGGGGTCAGCAGTATTACTATTTTATGATTAAAATGTAGAAGGAAATTAATAATAATTTTATCGTGTCGTTCAAAATTATTCATAGCCAACAACTGAATTACTGAAGTGTAGATTTGGAAAAAAAGTGTGGCCAAAAGTTGCCAAACCACTCTCCATTAATTGCAGTGTGGGAGTCATTTATTATATTTCCTTATTTATTTATGGGATTATTTGGATTTTTTATATTTATTTTTAGTTTTATTTTATTTATATTTTAATATAAAATAAAGCCTATCTTAAGAATTTGTTATTTTAAAAAATTTTATATTATAGTGGTTGGTGACAATCGGTGGCGTGAATAAAATTATTTTTTAAAAATAAATTAATTTATAATTAAAAATAAAAATAGTTTAATTATGCAAAAATATTAAAAAATAACTTTGATTTTAAAATATCCATATAAATGATTAGGGTTTCACCCAATTTTATTGAACAACAACAATAATAATAATGAGCCTTTATCTTACTACGTATGGTTGTTTATATGAATAATTTATCTCTATTGTTTTCTATTAAGAGTTAAATTCTTATTGAAATTTAACAAAAAATATTATTTTTAATATTTTTGGCCAAGTCGTTTTATGTCTATCTTAACATTTTTTAATATTGGTCAAATCTAATACATCTATTCACCTAATCAGGTCATTGAAAAATTAATATTTTATGTGACAAAATCATCTTAGACGACTTTCTATAATCTTATTATCATTGGAGCTACTACAACTTTTTCACGTATATACTCATTTTGCATTCTCTCTCTAAAAGTGAAGCTGCTCATCAACCTGATATCCTCATCTCTGCAATACTTAATTTTATGCTTTTCTTCTAATGGCCAATATTCTACACCTTAAAGCATTGCAAGTCTCACCCAATTTTATTGAAAAAAAGATATATTAGTGTATGATAAAGGATGAAATTGCTTATAAAAAAGATCAATCTGTGTTATAATACAACATACGTCATTTTGAGAGCAATAAACCCAAAAAAAAATCCATCAAACTCTCGGGAATGGGAGAAATTATTCTGTGCAGAATTTGGACGGAAAGAACTGTTCGAACATGTCAATGTATACACTGTGTAAAAATATGACGTATAATATATATCAAATTTTTATACGTACTGTGTGTGCACTCACAGTCCGTACAGATCGATGTGTGTGCACTCACAGTCCGTACAGTTCTTTCGATCTGAATTCTGCACAAAATAATTTCTCCCTTAATGACTCAAACATTGACAAAAGATATATAAATTCAGTGCCATTCATCAACAATAAAGATTTATGCGGTTGGAGAAAGTTTCACAAGAAATACACAGAAATAGTTCTTTATAGATTAAAAATAATCAATAATAACAGACAATTAATACTTTGCCTGCCCTTATTTATATTATATGGCCATTAATCCGCTTGTAACAATTGGTTCAATAAATGTGTTCAACTAAATTAATAAAGATTGTTGCGTGCTAGAATATACGCGGCAGTAGAGTTTGGAAATATTCGTCTTAGCGTTGCACGAGTATTCCGCACACAAACAGAAAAGAGAAAATGAACACCAAGGTTTTTACGTGGAAAACCCAAAAGAGGGAAAAAACCACGGGGCCTCGCCCAGTTGCAAAGTTCCACTAGTATTTGTTTGAAGTACAAAGGTTGATCCGTCTTACAAATCAAGCGATTGGGTTGATCTTGGTGTCGTTGGGTTCGTATTTCCGAGACGCTCAGTTTGACTATAAGCTCGCTGAAATCGGAGTTCGGGAGCTTTCAAATTTAGTTTTTGAAGTTTTCAACTAGCTTTTGCCTCAAGATTCGTGCCCGATCAGGATAATTTTTGCGTGATTTATCAAAGATCAATAAATTACTAATTATATTGGCTTAAATCCATCATCCCTTAATTTAAAAAAAAAAATCAGATATAAAAATAAAAAAAGTTAATTAGCTCTCCAGTTATTAATTAGTCAAGTGTAGAAAGTGGCTCTAAAAACAATAATTAGGCTGTCATAATGTTTTTTTATAATATAATAATATATATTAAATTGATTAATTAAATTGCACATGTTATTTAATTGGGCTCCACTTCGCCCTGACTGGCCGGGCTGTGCGGTTATCGTCACCGCTCATTGTATTTTATCAATTAAAATATAATTTACTAAAAAAATAATAAGAAAATAATTTTAAAATATTCTTATTGGTGCAAGGTGAATTCAACATGGAGCATGGATGTAATATTTAATGGTCTAAGACTCTGAAGCTTAGTATAGGACTTTTTTAATACTTCTTAAAATATAATTTTTTTTACTAAAATTTTGTTTTAAAAATTAATAAAGAAGTGTTTTCAAATGAAGTCTAAGGCTTCATTTGGGACGGCTTTTTTGCTGCTTCTTAAAGCAGCTTTCAAGTACAAAAATTTCAACTTTTGTACTAGAAAGCTGTTTCAAGAAGCAGTAAAAAAGTCGTTCCAAACAAAACCTAAGTGTTTCTGCAAGCTAAAAAGTTTGGGCGATAGAGAGAGGATTTTGCATCTTAATTTTGATGAATATTTAAGAGAATGTAAAAAATATCAGAGATCTTTTACAAGGAATTGAAAGAGGGAAAAATCATCGAGCATTATCTTGTTGAAATTATTTCACTATGCATGCTTGAATTATAAGAATGAGCTTGACGCGTCACCAAAAAATTTATCCTAATCAAGAACAAATCTTGATGAAAACCAGAGCCAGAAGCCTTACAAATTAAAATGGCGACCAACCAAACTCCAATTTCAACAAACTTATAGTTGGACTGAATGTCTCAGAAAGATGAACCAACGACGCCAAAATCAGTCTAATTTGAGCCCATATCAAGAGTCCAAAGCATATTTGAAGGGTTAAAGCATAATTTGAATCACCAAACGAATTCCAAATGAGGCATGCTTATAGTCAAATTGTGCAGCAATACGAGACGAATCCAACAAGTCCAAGATTGCTAAATTCGGATACCATTAAGACATACAAATGATTATTAAATGATTCACAATCGATGGGATCAATATCAGTCATTCATTCAAACTACTCACATCTTGACCTTGATCATCCCCATATTTACAAGTCATGTCACTCTAAAAAAATTATAAATATGCCCATATTGTTCACATGAAGGGAGGGGGTAAGGAGGAGTAGAATGGAAGAATTTGGGAGCTTGCTTGTCGCAGACCACCGCCGAAGTTCTTCCCGACCACCTTCAGACTTCCACCAGTTCGCCAACCATCGTTGGACATCTGCCCATTCGTCGACCATCGTTGTACTTTCGTTCATGCACCGACCATCGCTGAAGTTCTTCCCAACCACTGCCAGACTTCCGCCAGTCTGCCAACCACCAACAGACTTTCGCCCATATGTCGACCACCGCCAGAGTTCTTCCCAACCACAAAAGAACTTCTGCAGTCCAATGACCACCGCCGTACTTAATCCAGTCTGTCGACCACTGTCTGACTTCCCTCCGTTCGTTAATCACCACCAGAGTATTTATTGACAGCCGCTGAACTTCCGTCGGGTCATCGACTGCCGCTGAACTTCTACCTATTCGTCAATTATTACCAAACTTTCGCATGTTCGTCGATCGCCGCCAGAC